CGCTGCTGCACTGTAACGCACACACATTACAGACAGTAGCGCGTACATCTCGCGCGCACACAGAATCATTCAGAATCAAATGCATTGTCAACACTGTTCTGTGATTTCTCAATAAAATAGCTTAGAAACTGAAAAGTTCAAGCATATATTTCTTAATAACTAAATCCCACAGCTTCACTACTAGTAGAGAGACGCTGCCAGGTAGAATTAATTCAGAAACGCAATCGCTCTCACTAATGCATTCATATTAATGTAATCTTTACTGTGCTACTTTATCTGCATCTGATTTAGAACGAGCAGAAATCTGTGAAAAATATAATGACCCAAAGACAAAAGAATTGATAAAAATGAGCTGTTATAGGAGCAATAGCCATGTGGGCAGCGCTGTGTCATATGCCATAGCTGTGCACAAGGTGTTTGTCACAGCTCCAGACTTATTTGTTCATTAATGACGTCATCAGTGACTAGTCGACTTCGACTCGACTTTCATCACATAAAAGTCGACTTTAAAAAAATCAGAAGTCGTTCAACCCCTAGTTTTACATGAACATTAGTTATTTATATAAAGTTTCTTCATGTAATAATAGAAATTAGCAATGAAATCCATTCAAAACTTACTATTTTACAAAACATCATAATTATTGACATTTCATACACATTGGATAAATTTATTCTTGTTGCATTTTGCCATTGCTTGCTCTACATATAATACAACGCTACCTCAGATCTCAGCCCAAATGAGGTAGAAGACAGAATAATTCTTGACTTGAGAGCGTGCCTATGACGCCCTAAAATGCTGTCTAAGTAGGCAGCTCACTTGGTTTTGGAGCAGAGCGCTACTGCATCAGCAATTGATATTTCCAAGCGCCGATTCGCAAATGATTCCAAGTACTTGAGTTGTTTTCCCTCAAGTGGATGTCCTCATTGGCTAACTCTGCCTCTTGAACTTTCTAAATGATTATGAGTGTTTAATTACAGTTTTGATGCTGTTTGGCGTAATCAAGGCTGTTCTTCGGCCTTCTGAGTGCTTCATTCACACACTCAAACATATGGAATATAACAATAACGGCTGCTATTAGCACTTCTGGTTTGAATGTGATAGGTGCGCGCTGATAACTCAATTATTCTGAACGCATTATGTTCTGATCAGGAAAGCAAAGCAGCTCTCCAGAGAGAAGCGCACAGGTGCCGCACAGTCAATATTCCATTAGTCTTGATGGACTATAGATATATAGTTTATATATTATACATGGTTTAATTTCCGTGTGTTTGGATTACCATGTCTTTCCACTTGCAAACACTGTTACGTGAAAGAAAATGGAGCTTTTATAACGTAACACAATGTTTTATTAATTCATGCATGTCTGCTAGAAGATATAATGCTGTATGTGCTTAAACAAACACCCTAAACTGGCAGCTGTGCTGGCTACTTCATCCAAAAATTAAAATCTGCCATTATTTACTCTACCTCATGTCATTCAAACCTGTGTGATTTGCTTTTTTTCCAGTTAAAACAAAATGAGAAGTTAAGCAGAGACTGGAAAATCAGCAGTGAACAGATGCTGTAAACCTCCAAAAATGACAGAAAGCATCATAAAAGGAGCTCATATGACTTGCGCGCTATATTCAGTTGTCATTTGCATATATACGATGACTATCACATTGCTTGAGAATAAGTGGAAAATAGTGCAAGAGTCAAATGTAGAGCCTTGCACATGACATATAGGAGAATATATAGATACGACGAATTAATCATTTGTGGCCACATTTCATTCATTTATTTCCTTATGGGAACAAATTCTTAATTCGTGGCCACAGTATCTTAAAGTTAAATCTTGAAGTTAAACAGGCTTGGAGCAAATAGAAATTCTTTACATTTATATAGTTTTTCAGGATCCACAAACACAGCACCTATCAGTGGAGGCTCCAGCAGAGACTGATGTAGCCAATTAAGTGGGGATTATTAGGAGACCATGATGGATAGAGGTCAATAGAGGAAGCCCAGGGGCCAGTTGCATAAACCTAGCCTCTATGTTAAGACACTGTCTACAGTTAACCAAGGGGTAATCAGTCTTTTTTTATTATTCAATTTACACTAATCTATGTTCTTATGTAACAAAAATTATTTGATACATCAGGCTTTTATGGCTAGTGATATGGAGCTCATAAGGTTTGGCGTAATCAAGGCTGTTCTTCGGCCTTCTGAGTGCTTCATTCACACACTCAAACATATGGAATATAACAATAACGGCTGCTATTAGCACTTCTGGTTTGAATGTGATAGGTGCGCGCTGATAACTCAATTATTCTGAACGCATTATGTTCTGATCAGGAAAGCAAAGCAGCTCTCCAGAGAGAAGCGCACAGGTGCCGCACAGTCAATATTCCATTAGTCTTGATGGACTATAGATATATAGTTTATATATTATACATGGTTTAATTTCCGTGTGTTTGGATTACCATGTCTTTCCACTTGCACACATTGATCCAAAGCCAAACACTGTTACGTGAAAGAAAATGGAGCTTTTATAACGTAACACAATGTTTTATTAATTCATGCATGTCTGCTAGAAGATATAATGCTGTATGTGCTTAAACAAACACCCTAAACTGGCAGCTGTGCTGGCTACTTCATCCAAAAATTAAAATCTGCCATTATTTACTCTACCTCATGTCATTCAAACCTGTGTGATTTGCTTTTTTTCCAGTTAAAACAAAATGAGAAGTTAAGCAGAGACTGGAAAATCAGCAGTGAACAGATGCTGTAAACCTCCAAAAATGACAGAAAGCATCATAAAAGGAGCTCATATGACTTGCGCGCTATATTCAGTTGTCATTTGCATATATACGATGACTATCACATTGCTTGAGAATAAGTGGAAAATAGTGCAAGAGTCAAATGTAGAGCCTTGCACATGACATATAGGAGAATATATAGATACGACGAATTAATCATTTGTGGCCACATTTCATTCATTTATTTCCTTATGGGAACAAATTCTTAATTCGTGGCCACAGTATCTTAAAGTTAAATCTTGAAGTTAAACAGGCTTGGAGCAAATAGAAATTCTTTACATTTATATAGTTTTTCAGGATCCACAAACACAGCACCTATCAGTGGAGGCTCCAGCAGAGACTGATGTAGCCAATTAAGTGGGGATTATTAGGAGACCATGATGGATAGAGGTCAATAGAGGAAGCCCAGGGGCCAGTTGCATAAACCTAGCCTCTATGTTAAGACACTGTCTACAGTTAACCAAGGGGTAATCAGTCTTTTTTTATTATTCAATTTACACTAATCTATGTTCTTATGTAACAAAAATTATTTGATACATCAGGCTTTTATGGCTAGTGATATGGAGCTCATAAGGAAAAAGAAAATACCTCAATTTTATTCAGAGGCCATAACTGAGCAAAATATACAATTTGGTGCAGCTGCTAATATTTTTATAGCCAAAAATAAGATAGTTTGTAAAGTAAAGCAATGTGATCTTTGTAACAGAACAGCAGACTACTTACACAATGCAAATGTCACTCTTTGCCTCCCAATAATGTCTTAGAAAGATGATGTTTGAATGCTTAGTTTTATCATCAAATCTCTATCGTTTTCATTATGGGGGGCAAAACATATAATGCAATGCAATACAACGATGATGAGAGATAAACAAATACTGTACATGAGCCTGAGGATCATATTTGATACTCGCATTTGAATGTTATTTTTCTATTTAAAAAAATAATGCATGGATAATCACATAAACCTAAGCTGTGTCAGTCCAGTTAGTTGAAATACTACTAACAATATCAAAGTTATTCTTACGTTCACTTTATAAATACATGAAAGATTTCACAGCAAAAACACGTCTCACGACCTGAAGGTGGACATTTTTACAATTATACTAAAAAAAACTTGCTAAAGTATAAACTACCAATTAGAAGACAATCTTGTAGCACATTGTGTGCAACAGGATTTTTATCAAAGTTTTGATCATTTCGAGCCCTTAGAAATATGCGTATCAAATATGATACAGTAAGCCTTATTTAACCTCCATTTATTAGCCTGACTATACTGTGGCATTAGCACTGACATAGACCTCAGAGGAACGCAGTGAGTGAAGGACATCAAACCGCCTGTGCTGGACGATTTGAAGAGCTCAGATGCTGTCGTGTGCTCTGGCTCCTCTCTGCTTTCAAAAACACATTTGATTTGCCACAAGAACGCATTGAATCGCATTGTGACCGCGTTATGTCTGGATGCGAGCATGGTCTCTTCTCCTTTAGCTCCTCCTCAAACACAACATGAGCTCAAACAGATCTGATGGAAAGAAAGAGACTGACGGAGGAGCATCCACTCCACTAGAGCTTACTGAAGCTGCTTTCTTCATCAGAGAGCAATGTGCCGGACATCAGCTCGGTCAGCACTCTTTCCGGTCACTGGACTGGCAAATAAGCCAAATAAAATACAAATAAAACCCTGGCGAACATGCTGTGCCAAGCCTATTACACATGCAGAGAGTGCTGCGTGTTCTTCATCACACACATCCACATCTGGATTACATCTCTCTCTTATGCCATGACAATCAGTTTCTCATTCTGGAAACCTGAAAATGTTTTTGGCATAAGCAAATGTTCATGTGATAAGTGACTCGGGATCACTGAATTTTTGAAAACCATCACCACTTTGTGGACTCGGTGCCACCTCAGGGTGTGCATTCGTTTTTAATAATCCAAGCGTCCAGAGTCAATTATGTCTTCCTTTCTGGCTGTTTTTGGCCATGGATTTTGGCAGCCTCTCTCTCACAGCTGTGCTGCGGATGACATGTTAAAGTTCCTCATTAAAAAGCATCCGAGGTGACTCATTTGGCCAGGAAATTAACACCTGCACCCTAGAAGACATAGCTGTGGATGATGAAAATAATGAGAAGAGGTTTTTTTTTTACAGTCTTGTGTCTGATGAGATAAAGTGTGAAAAGTGCTCTCAGTTGCCCCTTGACGCTTACCCACGAGCAGGGCCTCTCTCTCTGACTTCACCGGGCTGGGAGGCCCTTTCTCCGGGAGGCTCTCCTTCTCCTGGCTGCAGGACACCACGGCCGCCGCCGCCTCCTACAGCAGGAAATAACAACACAAGAGAAAGTTGTTTTCTTCTCACGGCCCTCTGCCCCTCCCTCATTACCCCGGCCCTCTGATGGGCTGAAATCTCCTCGCCCAGTTGTGTCAGAGTGATTTATCCCGTGACAAATAAAGTTCTCCTGCACTCGATTGGCCTGTAATGATCTGTCATGTTCTGCGAGAGGATGGAGGAGGGGAAATGGGACAGGAACAGGGTGTAGGGTGATGCACAGGAAGGAAAATGTAGAGAGAAAGAGCAGCAGAGTGGAAGGAACAAAAGGCTGGAACAGAATAATAGACACGTTCCACGAATAGGGTGCAAAATAGAAACTTTTTTTCTTCTATAAATGGTCCGAGACAGGAGGTGCTTAACTTTTAGTCAAACCAACATTACATGATCCTTTTTTATTTTCTAATTATTTTCTATATGGTTTGCAATTTTTGCAACCACGTCAGTAGCTGTGATTTTGTTATTTTCTACCATTAAACAAACAGCAAATTTTTTAATATCTAAAATAAAAAAAATAAAAAAATGTATTAAAATAAAAAAATGTGACCCTGGACCACAAAACCAGTCATAAGGGTAATTTTTTTTGTGCTCACACACGTTCACACGGGGAAACTAAAGGACACGGGACACACCGCGGGGCAGGGAGCAGAATCACAGGCCTGACACACCGAGAGCCGAAGGTCACGTTTGCAAATGGATTTCTCTAAATGCCAAATAAGCAGCAAAGCTCCAAAGCATTCGTCCTGCTCAATGAAACTCTAATGAAGCGCAGCGTAAATGCAGAGTGAAGGCAGCCATTTCAAGCCGCTCGGCTGAGATTAGTAACGCAATCTGATGCTGACGCAATATTTAGTGGCGTTTGCCATCACTATTGTTATTGCTCATGCTTATGGTTAGGGATTTGAACAAACCTCAAATCCATGTATTAAACTTTGGATTAGCACCATCTGGGCTACATACATGAACGCTATCTCAAATCACGCGGCTTGTCGAGGAGAGGCGCGCTATTACTTTTCTAAGTGATCTGATTTGCAATTTTCGGCATGCTGTGATAAAACAGGTGAAGAAATCCCATGAAAGACCTAAGCCATATCTAGATACCAGAATATTAAAGGCTCTGTCTGGCTTTTTTTTGGACTCGTGGCAGCATACAGAGTGCCCTGGGGGCGCCAGAATATAATAAAAAATCATGAAAATATTGTCTGGCCAACAGCAAGTTTTAAAGGGCCAAACACCAATTACATTTTCTACAGAAAATGTAAACGCTTTGTATTATAAAGCGGATTGCTTATACAGAGTGCCCTGGGGGCGCCAGAATATAATAAAAAATCATGAAAATATTGTCTGGCCAACAGCAAGTTTTAAAGGGCCAAACACCAATTACATTTTCTACAGAAAATGTAAACGCTTTGTATTATAAAGCGGATTGCTTCAGCTCTAAATATGATTAGATGAATCCCATTTAAAGCTATTTTGAAATAGCCAATACACAGTATGTACACCCGTGACCACATTGGTGGAATTCTATATTTGTATAATTAAATTCAAATAAAATATAAAATAATAAATATTTTGATTCTTGTAATTAATACATATTTTTTTAATTACTAAATAAATGGTAACAAATTGTATTCTTTATGAAAAACCCCTTGAGATGCATCATCTCATATTCAAGGGGGTCCTAGTACACAAAAAAATAATAAATAAATATATAACTAACAACAATAACAACAATAATTAGTTTCAAGGGGGTCCAAGTACACAAAAATAAATACATAAATATTTAATTAATAACAATAACAATAGTAAGTTGTTTCAAGGGGGTCCTAATACACAAAAAAATAAATATATAAATATTTAATAATAATAATAATAATAATACATTGTTTCAAGGGGATCCTAATACACAATAAACTAATAATACTAATAATAAACTGTTATTATTGACTGAATATTTGCATCTTTTATCGTATTTCTGTTAAGTAAAAGGCCTCTCGTGGTTTACTGCTTTTTAATGCAGTGAGTGAATTCGGGACGGCGCACAAAACTCTACGACAGATATTCTAGGATTCTAGAAGATGTCTATTACAATGGGAGTACCAGAGGTTTGTATCAGTATAGATAGATAGATAGACTTCAAATCCAAAATGTCAAGAACCACTGTTTTAAACACAGTACCTGCATTATTTCCCAAACATCCCCACTGCATCATTGCCATCTTATCTCTGAAATTATGCCTGTTATGTTTATGCATTAATATAAAAGCACTCAAATGTCTGCGTGCTTGTAAACAGGGGAGTCTAATGCAAGAATTTCACACTGCTTTTCATCGTTTTGAACACCGAGACTCATCCTGAGCTCATGTTCCTTTAATTAGAGTGCAGGGAATCAGATATTCCCGTTCTGATCTGAATCCCTGGAGAGCGTTCAGCAGGACAGACTCATTAATACACGCCGTCCTCAAACTGACAGCCGTCTCGTCTCGTCTCATCTCATCTCCTCACCCGACAGAACACAGAGTTAAAAGAACACAAGCACAGACAGAGAGCCGTCTGTAACTCACGGGCAGAGCGTGTGATGTGGGGAAAGCTTGAATCCGATCTTTCAGACTCTGGATCTGGCTTTCGAGCTGTTGTACTAATAATACTAATAATAAACTGTTATTATTGACTGAATATTTGCATCTTTTATCGTATTTCTGTTAAGTAAAAGGCCTCTCGTGGTTTACTACTTTTTAATGCAGTGAGTGAATTCGGGACGGCGCACAAAACTCTACGACAGATATTCTAGGATTCTAGAAGAAATATTAATGACGTTTATCACAGCAAGAGACGGAAGAGCAAACACTGAGACGCACACATACAGACTGATGTATGACACACACAACACATTCATCCAGCAGAAAACAATAAACTGCTCTCGCAAGCGATGGATGGGCACAGATCTATAGGAGGAACGGCTGCGTTAAAATTGATTTTCATTTCTTCCATTAATGAGTCTGTCTCAGGTGATTCATCAATGCACACGCTGATGCCTCGAACCCTCCTTCAGCATGGATCAGTGGTGCCGAGATAAATTCCACCGCAGAGTGCCAATCAAACCTGTACAACATGCAGACATTTCTCCTGCTCTGAATGATGATATTCCCGTTCTGATCTGAATCCCTGGAGAGCGTTCAGCAGGACAGACTCATTAATACACGCCGTCCTCAAACTGACAGCCGTCTCGTCTCGTCTCATCTCATCTCCTCACCAGACAGAACACAGAGTTAAAAGAACACAAGCACAGACAGAGAGCCGTCTGTAACTCACGGGCAGAGCGTGTGATGTGGGGAAAGCTTGAATCCGATCTTTCAGACTCTGGATCTGGCTTTCGAGCTGTTGTTTTTCCTCCGAGTTCTTCTCCAGCTCCGTCTCTCTCTGTTTCAGATCCTCGCGAAGCTTGAGCAGTTGCTAGAGAAACGGCACAAAGGAAAAACGACGACATTAAAAACACATAACGAGAGACGAGCGTTATAAGAAGCTCAACAGCCTTGACGTCGCACGCAGATCAGTTCATCAGTATTTAAAGATAACACACGCTGAGCACCAACACGCTTTGGGCTGCTTCATTAAACTGAATGTTAGGATGTCTGAATAGCTATTGCTTTCGCTTGAAACCTAGCAATACCTGTTCCATTAGGTCAAGATTTGGCTGGTTAGAATGGAGCAGTTGATGTAGTATCTATCCCAGCTAGACCCAAAAAGCACTGACGGACAGTACTTTCTAAAGTAGTTTTTTTTTTGCAAGCAACATATGCAAGCGGTGCCCAGTATTTTTTTACAGGGCTCTTAAAAGCGTGAAATGTATTTTCAAGGTCTGCTGCCTTTGACATCACAGCTAGGTGCAAGCAGGATCCAAAATGAACACTCACTCGAGTGGCTGGAGCTGCAGAGCTGCCATTAGTTTTCATTAGCGTCTGCTGCTGCGCTGATCGTACTGAACACCTGAACGCTTCAAGAGGACCAAACGCAGGATTGTTTTGCATTTCCTGTCCGGATTTTGAGGAAAAACCTTTCGAATTTGTTGCATGGGCCTGCTCATCCACATAAACTATATGCAAGGAGCGTGTTTCTCTCACTTCAAGATTGCGTGAACCCACACCATCACGAGCATAACACGCCAATGTGACAACACAAATGTGCATGTCAACATGAATTCATCAAGAATTCAATACAGTGTTGAGAGACAATTAACAGTGAGAATTTAAAAAAGACAAGACATTTAAGTGTGAAATATTATCAGAAAGATGATCATTTAAAATTTAATTCTTTGTGACTATTATGGACAGGATTAGCATGAGTAGGAGGATGAAATCCATTGAAGAAATCCATTAAAATACATTTATATAAATAAAGAAATTTGAAAAGTTAGTTAGAAAAAAAAGATGTATTTAAGGGGGAATATATATATATATATATATATATATATTCTATATTTATGTTCAGTTATTGAAAAGAAAACTTAAAGAACCTATTCATTGCCATTAAAGTGAAATTACTAAACCTACACATGAGAGCCTGAGAAAAATGCTCATTTTAGAAGAAAAGTTCAGATACATATATTAATTTTTCAGAAAATTTCAAAATTCATACATGTATAACATTGTGTGTCCAGCTGAAAATGTATTAAAAATTTCAGTGCAAAGTGGAGAAAAGAAAGAAAGAAACAAACCCTGGAATTGAATAGAAATTAGATAGAAATTGTTGAGTGTTCTTTTAAAACCAGAGGTTTTAAACCAGGGAGTTTATTATTATTATTTTTGTTTACTTATTATATAAAAAAAAATAAAATGTATTTTCAAGGTCTGCTGCCTTTGACATCACAGCTAGGTGCAAGCAGGATCCAAAATGAACACTCACTAAGCGCCAAATGAGATTTAACATGGGCTTTGGTGGGTAAATAAAACACAGTTACTTGCCAGTTGGCCAGTGAATTCATGTGGAACTGCAATTTCACATGATTTTAATTCAATGATGGGCTGATTATTGTAGATTGTAAGCAACATGGGTGACTAAAATAAAAAACATGGAAGTAAAGAAGGCAGATGCAATTTCACTGGCTCATGTCATATACACTATAAAAAAGGAGTGTTGTACTTATTAATAAAACTTAGTGGAATATGTTTTACAAGAAAATGCATGTTTAATTCAATGTGTTACTTGCTGTTTCTTTGTAATTGTGAAATTTACAAGCGATTTCTGAGTTTGTTTTAAAGTTAGGTTAGGCTATATCCACATTAATCCAGATATATTTGAAACTGGCAGCATTTGTGAGAAAATATTCTATCATCTTTGCAGGAATGTAATATGAAGATTGTGAATGAAGAACATGACTGAACATGTTGTTGTTTTCATGAACCTTGTTCTCACAATCATCATTACAATGCAAATTTATCCACTTAGGACTACTTTTTCAAAAGCCTCCATTTTCGCTAGACAAAAACACCATCTCAGTGGGGATGAAAAGCCAAAACTGAGAAAAAGATGCGTGTTTTGTCTGAATTAATATGATTGCACGCACTTCCAGAGGTCCTGTGCTAACTGCTATTGAGATGAATGGGAATGCTAATGGATAGATAGCAGCAGATATTATGTAGACGTCCTTGACCTAGAAAGACTTCGATACCCAAATATGCCGTTTTTGGACTGCTCACCAGGGTTTGGGACGTCTTGCTATCAGATAATTCAATCTCAGGTGTTATGACTGTGTTGAATATGGCTTTATTTGATTACCTCTAGCTCATAAAGACATTTCAACAGTATGCAGCTGATATGACAGCTGTTCCCCGACCTCCAGAGCTGCCGTGCCAGTGACATTCAGAAACGGGAGGGAAAATATTTGGACGCCGTGCGTTTCGGTCAGAGACAAGTAAATAGATTTTGTGCCTTGAGGATGTTTGTATGTCTGTAGTGGCTCAGGTGAGGGACTGATTAAATCCAAAGCTGGATACACACACACACACTCTCTCACACACACACACTCACACACACACACACTCACACAGGCTCTGATTATATATATATTAAAAAAAAATCTACATTTTATATTACCTATACAAATATAATATAATATAATTTTATATAATATAATACGAGATGGTAAACTAATAGATTTCTATTTCAAATAAATGCTGTTCTTTTGAACTTTCTATAGTATTAATATAATAATTATTATAATATTATACACCATTATTATAATGTAAAACACCACTCTTTTCAACACTGATAATCAGAAATGTGTTTTGAGCAGCAAATTAGGATATTAAAATGATTTCTGAAGGATCATGTGACACTGATGACTGGAGTAATAATGCTGAAAATTCAGCTTTGCATCAAAGGAATAAATTACATATTAAAATATATTGAAATTGAAAACAGTTATTTTAAATGGTGATAAAATGTCACTATATTACTGTTTTTATTGTATTTTTTTAAAACAATAAATGTAGTGTTGGTGAGCAACAGTAGTTTATGTAACACAATTTTTCTTTTTCAAATGAGAGAAATAGACATTTTCGGAAAAAACTAAAACAAAAACAGACGTAAAGCAATTTACTCGGGTAACACGTTATGTAACACATTTCTCATACCACGTTTCCAAGCATGCTAATTTGTTGACAAGCCTAATAAATCAGAAGCCACGAGGTGCTGAAGACTGCTCTGATTTCTCATTACCGATCCTGCTCAGCTTTCAGAAGCCAGGAGCGATCTGAGCTACATAAACTGTGGTGATGTAACCTTTTTGTTTGCTTTCATGGCCTGCTCCTCATGAATAAATCAGACCGAGGGTGAGTTTAACACGCTCTGAGTGCAGGAGCGAAAACGTCTCCGCAGCCTCGCATGCCATTTGAGAGCGATTCAACTCGGAGAAATGGCCTGCGCTTTTCACTTCATGTGACAGAATAACATGCCGTCTTCACGCGCTCACCGGAGATCAGTGAAGACTAACTCGAACAAATCGCTCCGCGTGCAGCGAGTTCATCTCATGCCACAGCAATGTTCAATATGCAGAATCCCATTAGGGCTCATTAGCAGCAAGCGCGCACCTTCAACTGAGACAAACACTCCTCTCAGAACGGGTCTCCTTCATGGCCTAATAACGCTCACATGACAAGGTCAAAGCCGCGTGGAACATCTGCATGTGCTGCGCTTACAGGAGGACGACGAGGGTGACCAGGACTCTTTGTGTTCTATTGATAGGTACAGTAAAGAGAGGTACAAAAATAGACACAACATGGGACAGATTTAACCCTGCCCGTGTGAGTTTGTATTGTGTGAATGCACGGTTTGGGAAAATAAACCTAGCTGAAAATCACCCTCAGATCTCTATGTGAAGAACAATGGAGAACAGAGGACGATAGCTAAAAATAGCGGCAGTCTTCAAGAGAAGATAAAATAACGCTTGATAAAAGAGATATGAAAGTGCTTGATGGGTGGGAGACGTCTACAGCTTGTGCCCATGTGGGCAGATGAAATTTCCATTCCACATGTTCAACATCTCGTGTTTATTATAGTGCGTGTGTGTGATTGATGACCTGGGTGATCTGTAGAAATGAGGTGTTTGGGCTCAGGACTCCCTGCGCACAACAAGGCCGTCTTCAGCGAGTGAGGAAACAGTAGGTGTGTGAGACTGTAAACACACAGATGAGTGACGGCTCATGGATCACACCATGCTGGTTTCGAAACGACAACTTTTTGGTTACCGGCACAGATCTTTTTGTGCCAAACCACCAACAAGCATCCGCCCGTGTCTTCAAAAACCTCCAGCAGCTCTGCATGGAGTTCAACACTGCAAAAAAATATTTTATTTTTCTGTATTTTTGGTCATTTTCCAGTGAGAATATCTTAACAACCTAAAATTAGGCTTAAAACAAAAACTATGTCTAAGTGAGGTGAACAAAATGTACACTTGCAGTCAAAAATTGGAATAATTACGATTTTTTGTTTTTAAATGAAGTCTCGGTACTTCATTATAAAGGTACATGACATTTCATAAATAACTGTATCCAAAGTTAAAATGCATTATAATATTTGAAGGTTTGTTTGTCATGTATTTTATTGCATTATACTTTCTAAAGGTATTGTGGTGGCTTCTGCCACTTCTGTGAGAGATCATCCTCTTGTCTTGAGGCTTTGATGCCAGAAGATAGACTTTATTATCTGAGATAATGAAGCTGAGAGACTCTGCAGAGAATCTGTCCCATCTGTCTTTGCATACTCTTATATAGGTTTCATAAACAAAACTTATCATTCAGGCCACTATTGCTTATTAACTTTTGACCCCAGTCTATATCTCCTCATGACAGCATAATAGGAACACAAAGAGGTCTCAGCAGTTCATCACATGTCAGCACAAGATCATCTCATGCTTTCTCTTAATGGCAGCTCATCATATTTGAGCACACACAGTTAAATACATGACTATAACAGCAGAATAACTCATTAATATATATGGTCATATTCACATTGATTATGCTTGAATAATTCATATTTTGATTAATAAAAATCTTCCACAGTATAACAATAAATAGATAAATATTATAATGTAATTATAGTTATAACTGCAGTCAGGGCCGTTTCTAGGCATAGGCGAGCTAGGCGGTCGCCTAGGGCGCCACCAGCTGAAGGGGCGCCAATGAGCGCACGTACTGGCACTTTTAGCAGGGTTGTGATAAAGAGTGGCACCGTCACCCTGAAATATGATTGTCGCCCCCACTGGATCCCCCAACATTATTGGGCTAGAGTACTGTCAATCTGACGATGCCTGTATGCCACTAGATCAGAGTGCTGCATTTTTGTTTGCATTTGGAGCGCTCAACAACGCCATTAGATCAGTGGGCTCTGTCAGTGCTTTGGCAAGGTAACACTATTTTGGCTAGAAACGGCCCTGACTGCAGTGACAATTATTCATGAGAATCATACAATGCATTACAAGGTGCATTACAATGCACAATTGATCGTTCGCAAAGACCCGCCCTCCTTAGTTACTGTTGCTATCCCCGACAAACAATGCCGCTCTCACACTACACACATGTTCTCACGCAGTGAAAAATACATCGCAGAGCAAAGAGGAAACTGACAACACACAGACAGAGCAGGTTACTTCTGGTATGAAGTGAATCTGCTCTCTGTCTGATTTGTGGTTAAGGCTAGAAGGGATACGGCTGTGGCTACTGGGCATGCACATTTACATATTTCCATAGCCAACAATATAATGTCAAACCTATGAAAATGGTTTAAAAAAGCACATGGCGCCATAGTTTCATCACTTTAGTGTCGCAGTGACTGTCTTTTTGCAGTAAAGGACTTGTCATAGTTTAATGAGTGGGAAGATGACTGAAGCGACGCGAGGAGAGCTGCTTTGAAAACAGATGAGCAAAAACAGCTCCCGATCGGGGCGAAGTTCACGGGATTTTGTCCACAGAATGATAAGAGCACACGTTTTAACATATTTTATTATTTCACACTCAATATTTGAACTTAAGCGTTGTAAGTCATGCATACAGCGCCGGACATGACAGGTTTTCTGGTACGCAAAACAAGTACTTTAAAGGAATTCCTTAGCTTATTGCCGTCACTGTGGCAGTCAACAAACCCTCCGCACATATTTATATTTAGTTAGATTGAAAAAGTTTCAATTCAGTCGATCTTTTTTATCCCGTTTTAACATGGATTTCTATGGAGACCGGCCGTAGATCTTGGGCAAGATGGCGGATAGCAGCGGTGGCACATGATATCCGCGTTCTGATTGGTCAGATCGCCTGTCAATCAAGCTCTTTGCGAACGGTCAATTAATGCATTAAACCACTTTCATAATGCATTATATATAAAGGCTCAAAGTGTCACATGATCCTTCAAAAATTATTCTAACATGCTGCTGAAGAAACATTTTTATTATTATTAGTTAATATTTTGTGGAAGCCAAGACGCCCTACCACTCAAAAGTTTGATGTAATATTTTTTTTTAAACAAAAAGAAATGAATACTTTTATTCAGCAAGGACACATTAAATTAACTAAAAGTGACAGTAAAAACATTTTAATGTTACAAATTTACAGATTTAATTTACAGATTTATTTCAAATAAATGCTGTTCTAGTGAACTTTCTATTCATCAAAGAATCCTGAAAAAACTGCATCACGGTTTCCACAAAAAATTAAGCAGTAAAATATTGATGATAATAGTAAGAACTATTATTAATAATTGAGCACCAATAATAATTTATAATAAATGAAAACCAAATCAGCATATTAGCATGCTTTCTGAAGATCATGTGACACTGAAGACTGGAGTAATGATGCTGAACATTCAGCTTTGATCACAGAAATAAATGACATTTTAAAATTAATTAAAATAGCAAACAGCCCTTTAAAATTGTAATACTATTTCACAACATTACTGTTTTTATTGCATTTTTAATCAATTGGAAGAAAGGGACAAAATCTGGCATACATCACCAGAGAGAAGTCTGCAGTTTTACTGGAAAATGTAGTTTATTTTAATTAAAAACTACAAGGTCAATTTTTTAAGGAAAAAAAAAAGAAGAAATGCATGGATTAATTGTTCATAGTATCAAATAACAATAATAAAAGCAAATAAATTTCCTTTATTTTAATGATATGTAAGACAGTTTTACTGGAAACCAGATAAAAACACTGCCTAAGAAAGTGATTTTGTGCTGTATGCCGTGCTGACTGTGTGTGCGTACCTTCTGCATGCCCTGCAGAGCCTGCTGCAGGAAGCTGAGCTGCTGCTGGCGGGTGGCGTCCTCCTCGCTGCGCTGGGGCTGCGCTTTACCCTGCTCCTGCTTCAAAAGCTCCACCTCATTCCTGTAGGCATCCAGCTGACACCGCAGACTGTCGTTCTCTTCTTTCAGAGCCTCCACCTGAGCCAGCGGCCCTGGGAGACCACAGAGAGAGAGAGTAGGAGAGATATGAAAAATGACAATTGCATTGGCGACAGGAAAGGGAAATAAGCAGACAGAGACACACGAGCGAAGGAGGCAGGGGTGAAAACCAATAGCGGAACAGAGAGAGAAGAGGCGCATATTAAGAGTCGTGTGCGGAGTAATAAGTCACGGGGTGGTGGCGGCGAGGCCTGGAAAGGGTAAAATGAAAGAAGAAAACAGCATTCCTCAAAAGCTGCTTAGAGAATTCTGCTGATGGACCGAGATGAAAGGACCCTCAGTACCACTGCTGCGTTCGGTTTGCTTTCAGAGGCTAATTAGAGAGGATTAAATGGAGAGAAAGTGTATTACTTAATGCTTGACTTAATGTACCATGGGCATTGTTATCAAACGGCAGTAATTAAAACAGGGTTCTTCACACCGAGACATTCCGTCATTCAGCCGTCTCTTAACAACCCGATGATCAGAGACGCCACCTCTGCTCCGCGCCTAGCGGGAGGAGATAACAGGATTATGCCGAGAAGCGTGTCCCTCTCAGATTGGGCAGGGAGCGGGGGGAACAGCTGGGGGGCTGATGTGTGTGGGTGTCTGTGTGTGTTTGTGCTAAGCGAACTTGCAGATGCGTCGAGGATGCGTCGAGTATAAATCAGCCTTGAGCGTGTGTGCGTTAAATACAGTGAAGACAGCACGTTAGTTTAGAACGTAGAGAGAGTGTTAATTTGTGCGATGATAACCTACCAGCAATGTAAATGATTTTTTAAATATATTAGAATGAGTACATTACAATATAAATTTATTCGAACGAGTACATTATTATGTATGGGCTAAAAAACAACATGCAAACAATCAGAATATTGTACCTGGTGGGGAGTGCACAATGTAAACATGAAACATATGCCATTACCTATATTGTACTGTGGTACAGTTATGGAGGCCCTTCATAATGCAGAGGTCAACTGCCTGCTCTGCCAATAGTTAGAAATGGCACTATAGTAAGCAGTGTTTAATAAACAGCTGTTTTTATAAATTCTTCTGAGGTGAAATTCAGTGCAGTCCCGTATCGTGATACGTATCGTATCGGGGCCTCTGTATCCTTGACTTTGACTTTGACTTTGACAGCATGACTTTGCTGGTGATACACAGCCCTACTACTTGCACTATTTATCATAGCATAGTGCATATGTAAGTGAATTGGGATGATCCTATTGACTATAAATATACTTGCATTTCATGCAATAATTAGAAGTATTGATAAAGCAGCTCATTATAGTTTAAAAAATATATTTTTTGTATGTGCTTTGTATTTTTTATGTTTAAGAGCGTCAGGTTGTTAGCTTAGCAGCATGCTAACGACAAACTCTGAAAGTTTGGGTTTCAAAGTCAGGGGTTTCCCATAGGAATCCAAGCACTCTGGAATTTTGCGTGAGGGCGAAAGATTTCCCTATGCAGATTTCGCAACAGGTTCAAGTTGGTCATGTTGCGTTGACTAACAGAAAGTTGGGTTTAAATGTGACTTCTGTGTGATTATTCATCGCTACATTATTGCATTAGACATGGACCTTTTTTGGCCTGTAAAATTTCACCAGGATTTTACAAATGTGACTTTATTGGAATCAGTTGAGTTGAGTCTCTTAAGTCCGATGAACGTAATTTTTTTATCATTTGTCTATGTAAACCTGTCTTATGGCATAAATGTGACATTTTTACCATGCTATGTGGCGGTAAAGGTAGCTCATCTTTGAAAAAATGTGTTTTGAGACCCCTGAGGTTTGCAGAATGGCCATTCTGTCGTGCTAGACCGAGCACAATGGAATGGCAATTCACACGGGACACAAGAACGCATCCTTTATGAAGGTAGCTGCCATGTTACCAATTCTGTGTTTTGTCTGGAAGCATGTTTGGTGTGAATTAGAGGGGAAAGAAATAGAGAGACGGAGAACAAGAGTGAGAGAGACATAGAGACACAGAGAGAAAGGGAGGAAAGCAAGTGGTTTTTATTGATTCGTCTCATCAAGTTGCTGCCCTCAGAGCCGTCCAGGTTCACCTTCCGCAGCATGGCAGGCAGCTCCATCGACCTGTGCTGCCCAGGGGTGCTGACAGTAAAGAAAGCAGCTCCCGTTTGCACACTGTACTATAGCTATTGTCAGAGGACACTTGCCCGTTATCATTGATTAACTCTGGGGGAAAATAAAAGCAAACATGTTGGGCTGCAGTGAAGATGGAGGGCGTCCTCCATGTCATCATCCGACATCTCCATTTCCTCCTCCCTCCGAATACCCATCAGCTCTTCGTTGTGGATGTTTCTGATCTCCTGTGAATGAGAGGAATAGAGTCTATAATCCCAACTGCTGGACGATCTATCACACTTTGATTAACACATGAAATATATGAGCCGGAAATGTAATAAGCCATTCGATCAGATTGTAAAATAGAGATTGGACTCCTCAAGTGCTATAAAAGCAGGTGGAGCTGCTCCAGTGGTATCGATGCAGAGAGACACCTGATGTTGGCCGACCTTGTCTATGCGCGCAGTCAAACTTTGCACAGGGACTCTTTAATGAGTTATAATGGCTGCCAGTGGGGCTTAAACGTTGCAGGAAGTGATTGCACAGCCACCACAGATCGGCAGGTCCGGGCAGGGGCAGATGAAGCAGATGTCTAGGCATGGACGCTGCCCTGTGGGCGCTCCTGATGGGGGAGCTCTCTGCCTAATGAGGCATGCGCACAGCAAACAGATAAGGCTGTGCAAAGACACAACATGACCGCCACAGGGAGAGAGAGACTTACTCTCTGACAACAAACAAAAGGCCCGGCATAAACATTACCATCTGTCTAGCACAGTAACACATGATCTCACTGAGAATTACAGAGGTCGAGCAGGTAGCGCGAAAGCAAACAGGCCCATCTGCTCAATCAGGAGAGGGATAGATGATATGGGGCTACCGCAGGAAGGCAACTAGCTTTCCCGCTTTACACTTTTCTCCAATCTTTAACACAGGACGTCTAGCTGCCCACAGTATAAATGGACTGCGATTAAATTCAGGTCGTCTAGGCAACTGCAAATACCCATTTGCTTGGAATAACAATCAGCTTGAAGTAAGGAGAACCCGCAATACTGACTGGACATTTCTGTGTCAGAACCAACACTGACTGAAGCTTTGTTTACGCAAGAAATAGCCGGGAAAACTTGCAGGGGAGCTCAAGGAAATGAGGATGAAAATCCTCTAAATTCCGCTAAGCCTGAATGTAGCTCTAGGTCAACAACTCATCCGACGCCGCCATCTTACCGTCACATTTACGAGAGAAGCGCAGCGAGGGTCCAAACAGCTCCAAGCAAAGCAAAGCAAACATAGTTTAAAAGTGTGTCATCTATTACCTATCACTTACTGTCACCTGCTCCAGATATAACTAACCGGATTCAGGAGTGAAGCAACCTCCTCCTACAGCAGAGGATGTTTAAATGGCACTAATGGGCTCTATTAGAACATAAACATTTCAAGTGTGAGGTTCAAAGGCTTGTGAAAGCGTGGCATATCCCTGAAGCCCTGCATTGTCATACTAGAAGGATTCCGACAGTTTTGAGGTCGGCTCTTCTTAATACATAATGTAAGAGGTGAGAGAGGCCTGCTAACTCTCTCTTCTTCTCAAATGAGGCTTCAGCCCGCTGTGACAGCATTGAGAGCTTCCTGTCATAGCCACGGTGAAGCTGCAAGCACAATGCCAACCCGGGAGTGAGAAGAAGCTCATATCTGAGGCTAAACATATTCGACTTATGTCAAGTGGTCAGAGCAAAGGGCAAAAGGGGGGATTGGAGGATGAAAACAGCAAGTGAGGACTACATCAGCTTCTTGAAATGATCAAGGGTTATTAGGGTTGTTGCATACCCTTTCTTGTCATCTGATTGGAGAAATGAAAGAGATGAAATGAGAGGATAAAAGGGAGCTCAATAACGACGCAATTACTGCAGCAATAATAAGCTCCTTTCAGAGATGAAGAACAGGGTAAGTGCTAAAAGAACTCTATATGTAACTGTTTCATTTGGAGACAAATCGAATAAAATGTCATTTAAAATTTAGAATAAGGCGGTCAATCAAGGACTCGGTTCATGAAGTTACCAAAAGCACTAACTGGCAGCAACAGCGATTTGTCTTAATGTGCTTCACAACGGGCTGGAAATGGATGGACGTGTGCGATATTTCTGATGGAAACGTCCATTTCAGATGACTCTAAATTTTTGTCCAACTGAAATTAAGCAGTTTATCAGGAATGAATGAAAGAAAATGAATTACAACTACGAGATAAGAAACTATAAAGGATTATTTAGGACATGGTGCAACTCATTTTAAACACCTACCTTAAACAGTGAGGATCTCTTTCGGCATTTACAGTACCTGCATCTTTAAGCTGTTCCAATGGCTTCAAGTGAACAATTACAACCCAGTCATAGCGAAACACAAAAATCAACTAGAAAAAAAAGGAAGGACGGGGCTTCAGCTTGTGAATTGATTGAATCATTAAAAGTGTCCGTAACATACTACAACAAAGTCAGACCTGAATGCGAGTTTGTTGTTGACTGTAGATTACTACCCTTCTCCAACACACACTTTAAGGAGGCTGAAGGTCAAGTTTACCCACTAGAACATCTTGATGCATCTTGCTTCTTTTTTATCATTTAGCATGTGATATTATGAAGACAAACATTTTTTTTCTTTGATGATTTATGCTCAATAGATACAAATTCATGTTAGACTTTAAAGCCATGAGAATTAATTACTGTAAACTCCTAGGAACTTGTTTTTATGACACATAAAAAGTCCAGTCCTCGGTTGATTTCACACTCATCATTTGCTGAGCAGGAGTTCTCGGTTTTATTAGATGTAAACAATATCGACCCTCTGATCCATGTAAAATAGTGTTTTAATGTTGCCAGCGATGGAAATTAAAGTGCTAACTAGACACCAGATTGGGTCTTTATGCACTAATAATCAGAGAGATGTCTTAAAACTTACCTAATGACCACAGAAAACAGAGGAAAGAGACAGAAAAAAAACACTTCAACAACAAAAATGTGGAATCATTAATTAGCTTACAGTGTCTGTCTCCAACTTCCACTAATATAGAATAAATATCTCTATAAATAGAGAATACATTTCTATGGTTTCTATCAGAAAAGACTCAATGTTACCTGCCGGTTGTCAACCGCTGAAATCTCATGGTCAGTGTCGGGTCACATTTCACTACCAGAGAGAGCTGAGCAATTAAACTATCATACCATTAACATTCAACTCAAAAGAAAACACATGGACTTCAGGAGAGTTCAAGTACACATGGGGAGCTTGCAGGGAAGGGGAAATGGAAAAGACTAATATCTGACAGTAACATACTGCATAATTAATTCTGAAGATGTGAAGCATGAACACATTCACTTAAAGAAATGAAAACACCAACCTCTGCTTGCTTTCGCCACATGTCCAGGTTCTTGCGTTGGGCTTTGGAGAAATGGTCCCATGCCTTTTGTTTGGAAGCAGCGTGGAATACAGACACAATCTGCTCAACTGTGGCAGGGGATGCAGGGGCCAGTATGGGCGTCCAAAGAAAGAAAGAGAGAGAGGGGCGATTGGGAAGGTGCAGAGGATTGAAAAAATGTGTCAGGTTGGAAGGAAGTGATGTAGTTTTCCCCTACCCCCCTCTATACAGCATAAACACTGAGCTGGGGTGACTGGTGTATCTGCAGGGATGAGATCTGAATGAGATCACATTTCTGTCTCTTCTGAAAAAAAAAATCACTTTAAAGGGAGAGTTCACCCAAAAATGAATACTCTGTCATTATTTACTCACCCTAATGTCGTTCCAAACCCGTATGACTTACTTTCTTCTGTAAAGCACAAAATATATTGTGAAGAACATTGGGGTCCAAGCATCAAGACTTTCATTCTCTGAAACATTTTTTTGTTTTGTTTGGAACGAAATGAGAACGAGTAAATGATAACCCAATTTTCATTTTGGGATGAACTATTCCTTTAACTTCTGTGGCAGCTATGGACTGTTGTTGTATGTAGCAAAACAGCAGCTGGAACATTCTGCCTAACATCTCATTCTGTGGTGTATGGACGAAAGAAAATCCTTTGGGTTTCGAATGACATGTGGGTGAGTCAATAATGACAGATTTGTAGACTCTCTTGGGAAGATTAAACGGCAGAATAAAGAATTCCCTAGCGTTACCTGAAATCAACTGTTCCGTCTCATGTTTCTTCTTTCTCAATTACTACAACACACCTCTCACCTTCATCGACTCTGCTTGCCGGATAGTCAAAGCATCTCCTGTATTTTAAGAGTACATCAAGTGGAAGCCTAATGTGATGAATGTTTCATCTATGACAGGCTGGGCTCATTACTTCAGTGTGTATAGATTATAGAGGACGTCTCACTTATGTAAACTCATTAAAGCAAACCTTCCAGAAATAGTCATCTGTTCAGAATTAAGAGACGAGGTAGTCAATCGACTGTTTTGGGGGACATGAGTGCTTTGGATGTTGGAGATACATGGCAGTAATTTCCTGTGAGAATGTAAGACAGGAGGAAGGCGCAGGACGAAAGGGGAACAGCTGCTGAGAATCACAGCTGCTAATAGAATGTGCTGCTCTGACATAAACTCTGTTCCAAAAACTAGCAATCTGCCAACCTAGACGGTGTTTTGAGGTAACATAATTACATGAAAGCGGAACCAAAAAGTAGGCGGCATAATTATGCGCATTCCTGTGGCCTAAACGTAAGGCGGCAGCACACGCATCCTTTGTAGAGAAAAAAAAAATCATCCAAGATAGTGGATGACAAGGCAAAACATACATTATTATTCAAAAATTTGGACATGTTTCTTGAGCAGCAAATCAGCATATTAGAATGATTTCTGAAGGATCTTGTGACACTAAAGACTGGAGTAGTGATGCTGAAAATTCAGCCTTGATCACAGGAATAAATTACATTTTAAAATATATCAGCTATTTTAAATCCTATTATTTCACAATATTATTGTTCTTATTGTATTTTTGATCGAATAAATGCAGTGAGGATGAGAGACTTCTTTCAAAAACATGAAAAAATGTTACCGATCAACTTTTGAAAGGCAGTATATTACGTTAAACTTTGAAAAATATCAGTAACTATTTTGTGATTGTGATGATTTTAGTGTTGGTCTATTAGAATGTCTTGCTCTTAACTTAGCGAAATACTAATGTAAAGGTTTGTATGTTCCAAAAAATAAATAAATAAAAAAATCACGCTATTTTGCACAAGATTCCTTAATTTTGCTGCATTGCAAAGTTCACTGTCACTCATATCCAAATGACTTCAGGTTGGTTTTTCGCTATTTAACACTGTCAGTGTGAGCGGCCCTTCAGAAGGAAACAGACAGCAAGGCATCTCACTAGGTTTTGTCCTCTAGACTTCACCAAGTATTACTTTAAATCTCAGCATGCCTGTTACTTTTAGCAAAATCTGATAGGTCTTTAAGCTACTGTCATATGACTAGATCATTTAAGACTATCATATCATATTTCAAAGAGTTTCTGCACGTGCAATGCATCATGGATTTAAAAAAAGTGTCTGGGAAATGACATCAAAGCATCCATCAGCCTAAGTGATGCAACTGAAGGACTGAGAGACAAAAACATATGGTGCCAGCGGCTTGATGTCATTACTGATGGTATAACGTGACCTATGCAGATTCACTCAGAGATCCCATTTCTCTCTCTGTGAGAGGGGGTTAATAAACCTTGGGGAGTCAGGACGGATGCCAAACACATCTGTCTGCGGCAACGGCATGCTCAAGAGTGAGAGAGGCCCGATCGATAGTGACTTCAGCATCCTTTAATTTGATGGACGAGGTCGATGGCAAAGCCAGGATGGAGAGCATGTGCCTGAGTGTATGCACCACTGAGATTGTGTAGGTGCATGTAAGTGTGCAGTGTTTTTAGTCTGATGTGCATGACAAAGTGTCACTAGTTTGAGTTTCACATGTTCACCATTTACAAATGAAAATTGTGTAGTAATAGTTAAGCTTGTGTCTGATTTAGGCCAAAACAACAGCCTCGAGCCGTGCAAGCTCGATATCATGCATCATTACCAATTGTGTCAGACTGCATTCACAAGTTTATAATGTAACGCAGGTACGTGTTGCTTCTCAGCACTACCGCAAGTCCAGTCCTCTCTACAGTCAGTTTTCAACTGTCATGGCAGAGCAACAGTCTGAAAGCAGTCTTGCTCAACATGTTGATTTAATGGCACAGACGTTTGAAGATAACTTAATCACCCCCCGGAGTACTGGGCTATGTCACTGTAATGTGCATTTACATTTATGCTTTTATCTAAAGCGACTTATGTTGTTTTCATGGTATACATTTCCATTTCTATGCTCATGCATTCCCTGGGAAAAGAAATCATGATCTCAGCGTTACAAGCAGCTTTCTCTGCTGCTTAGCTACCACATACTGTACTTGCAATGCACTGGTTTAGCCTTGACTTCTGCATTTGCATATTTATGTTTAGTATGTTTCTGGCCTTTCTCTGCGTTTATATTGCCTCAAATTTCCTAACAAATATTGTAGCAAAAAGCAAAACCGAATTCCTGATTTAAAAACTAAAAAATCTATTTTAAATAAATGTTGTTTTAAACTTTCTATTCATCAAAGAGTCCCGAAAAAATGTATTCATTTTCAAAAAAAAATGAAGCAGCACAACTGTTTTCAATACTGATAATAACAATGTTTCTTGAGCAGCAGACTTTAGTTAAAAAAAACATGTAAAAAATTTTACCGAACCCAAATGTTCGGTAAAAGGTAGTGTATGTCTTTCACTTTAAAGGTGCACTAAGCAATATTTAAAAAAACGCTTTTGACCACAGCGTCGGACCGAGTCCTAAAACACACTTGTAGCCAATCAGCAGTAAGGGGGCGTGTCTTGTTATGATAGAGAGAAGAGAGTGCTCAATTTGAGTGCACAGGACAGATATTAGCAGATCGACTATAGATAGAGAGATGGCAGATAAAAAAAAGAGGAAAATATCAGAGAAACAAAACATTAAAAAGAAGGGTTACGATCAGGCAAGAGGTAGGACCCGAGTAAATATCGGAGCAGCTTTCCAGCACTGGAGAGAACTCAAGGAGCGGGAAGGGCTCGAAATCGGACGCCGAGGTTGCATTGTTTTTTTCTTCGTGATAGGGTGAGTAATGTTGATTTTGCTTTGTTTCACACAACTTATTCGTGTTGGCTTTTGTTTGAATATGCTTGTGTGTCATCTTCAGTGTTGGGAAGTAATTACATTTACATTACATTTGAATATTTACACACATCCACATACAGATTTAAATGATTTCTTTCCCAAATTGCACTGATATGCATATATATATATGAATCCTGCACGTTCTGCATGTCTGTGGAAATCAGGCGCGGACTGGCCATCGGGAGAACCGGGACAATTCCCGGTGGCCTGGCAGCCGATTTGGCCCGCTATTTTAATATTATTATTGTTTAGTTGCCTGCCGAATGTACTAAAGCAATTATTTCCGAATTCGCTATTCGATAATTAAATCTCTAATAAATCATGAATCGGGGTCGCCGTGATTTTGCCAAGTAAGACATGTTCCTGGATCAACATCTTTTGATGATCAATAAAGTAATTGAAAAAGTTACACTACTATTACATTATAAATAGGGTAACTTGTAATCTGTAACCTATTACATTTCCAAAGTAACCCTCCCAACACTGGTCATCTTCACTTGTTTCCACGATCGTCGTTGCCAGGGTTGTGTACGTACTTGTGGGGCGGACATTTAAAAATAGGGGCGAGGTCCTGTTGGGCTATGGGCGTGTTTGTTTTGGTGCTTTCAAATATCAACATCGTTTGGCAAAAATCGCTTAGTGCACCTTTAAGTTAGTATTGTTATTAGTGGTACCATACCAGCCGATAATGGTAATTATTAAGCATCAGTTGATACTGTATGCATCTGAATGCTTATTTCTGCCTATCCAAGGTGAATTTTTAATTATAAGATATAATTTAGCACTATAATGACAGAATGCAGCAAAAATTAACGTTTTTGATACAGGATGTGCTGTGCATGTAACTAATTTTGCCTTTACTAATATGACTCCAGTATATAATAAGGTTTTTAAGCTCAAATATATATCTATGACATTAAGCAAAGTGATAATTTAGCAAATTTATTTGTATAAAATACTACAGATTTATAATATCAACCATTATGTGAAAATATTTACTTGTCGTCTCCCATGTTTGTGCAATAATAAGAAAGCAGTTTTTTTACAGAAACATTAACACTTTTACTACAAACCATCCATTAGATGGGGAAAGCACAGATTTGGTTTGTGACAGCACCCGTCTGCCGCCTCAGCCGGAATCCAGCGTCTTATGCTGAAATAGTCTTACCCAGAATTCCCGTCACCGAGCCCCACCTGCCACTGCGACAACCTGCTGCTCTATCCTCCTGCAGGGCTGCAACCCCAGCAAGCTTTTAGCTGTATCCTGCACTTCATCCTTTATTTTGCTGTGTGCTCTGTTTGCGTTCAGATAAGACAGATGCTCGACTGTCACAACGCTTTCTCTCCTCTGCGTGAGCGACTGTTCCGCCGCACGTGTTCGCCATCACGACAGACCAGACATTACTAGAGTGCCAGATACTTGGTTTGTATCAAAGGGTGCCATCTGCTGCTTGCAGATAAAAGGCTGGACGCTGCTAAATACCAGGGGAAGCTACTGGAAGGTGCTTCTAAGGTGACATGACCTTTCTGATGAAACATCTGTAGCTAGTTTTCCTGATAGAAGATAACTCTGACAGACAGCTCGAGCAGGCTTGGTAGCAAATCAGTACTGTCACTATTTCCTCAAGCAGACGCTCTAAACTCATTCGAATAACCTGACAGGCTTCAGAAGGAAATATCTATAAGAGAGAACACAAACAAGCAAACAAACAGAAAAGACATATTCTGGCAGATGAAGTCTGTATCTCTGAGGTGGTTTTGTCTCTTCAAAACAATAAAACACCGTTGGATTTCAACCTGTCACTAGAGAAGAGACGTATTGGTAAATATGTTTATGCCTGCGGATGCTTGTGAAACTCCATCTCTATATGCCATCAGGATGGATGCGACTACAGTGTATGGCATAATGCTCTGATAGACATCAGTGATGTTGTGCAGTGATGACTGCGAAGGCATATGCAGAAACTTACCATGACATTCAAATTAGATCAAGTTACTGTATGGCATCACTGATAAATCAAGCATTATTCCTGATCTTCATGTCTGTAGGACAGTGAATCATGATTGGACCAGGAACTCCAAGACTGGCAAGTCTGCTAAGCCTATATGACTAAGTGTATGACTAATGGCGCTTTTCCACTGCGTGGTACGACTCGGCTCGGTACGGCACGGCTCGGTTTGGCTCGGTTTGCGTGTGGTGTCAACTTTAACATTTGTTTATTCTCCACCATTTCTTTCCAAAACAATTGGTTCAGAGTCACCTGCAAAGAAAAAGCACAGATTTTTGTGCAGCTTAGGAGTCAAATTTTTTTTTTTCATTGTTCACCACTTTTATCTTTTTTTTTATAGCACAGTCATAAAACATAATGAATAATTCAATTTAATTATTCATGATATATTTTCTTTAACAAGGAACTATAAATAGAATATTGTTACATCTAAAAATAGGCTTTTGTGGTTCGCCCATACCTTACTATATCCAGATACAGACAATTTTGTCAATTACACAGATACATATACACTACCATTCAAAAGATTTTGTCTCTGAAACAATTCTCTTCTGCTCACCAAGGCTGCATTTATTTGATCAAAAATGCAGTAAAAACAGTAATTTTGTGAAATAATTACAATTTAAAATAACTGTTTTCTATGTGAATATATTGTAAAATGTCATTTATTTCTGTGATCAAAGCTGAATTTTCAGCATCATTACTCCAGTCTTCAGTGTCACATGATCCTTCAGAAATTTGCTGCTCAAGAAACATTTCATTTTTATCAACGTTGAAAACAGTTATGCTATTTCATATTCTGAGATACACTGATTTTTTTGATGAAAAAGTTCAAAAGAACAGCATTTATTAGAAGTAGAAATCTTTTGTAACATTATAAATGTCTTTACTTTCACTTCTGAACAATTTATGTATCCTCGTTGAATACAAGTATTAACTGCTTCCAAAGAAAAGCCCCAAACATTTGAAAGGTAGCGTATACAGAAAATGGCTTTGCTGCACACTCCTCGTGCATTATAAGGAATTGTGCATTATATATAATGCATCATACATACAGGTTTCACACAAAGTGTTATGGAAGAGTTAAAAGCCTATGCATACGTGTGTTGTTGAGGGACATGTCATCAGAAGTGTATTTGATTCTCTACAAGCTCAAGTCAAGGTTATGTGAGCAATCAGTCGAGCTAGACATGACAATCTAGTGATTGGGCTTACTTACTTTTAATCTATGAAGGGTCATCAGGTGTGCTGTCCAGAGACTAAGCAGCTAAACCAAATCACAGACTCTGGGTCTTGATGATCTACACATGCCCGATAGGTTCACATACTCTACCTTCTTCTGCATTCAGCTCAAAGTGGTAGAAGCCTCTGGAGCACTTACCTTTGGTCCACACTGATATCAGATCAAACACTATAAAACCCAGTCGTGGAAAAGCTGCAGTGCAAAAGTAACTGACGGCAAAGCGTAAACTGCTTTTGAGGTCAAAAGTTGGGCAGATTTTCTTAACCTTTGCCGTTGCATTCAGAAGTGTAGCTTTCTAATAAATACATCTGAATACCTCCTGCTGGTACTTCAGTAAATACACGCCACGCTGGTACATTTAATTACACTTCATCAAGAGATGCATCTGTATGATATTCAAACGCACTAACTTTTCAAATTTTCAAGGCAAGATTTTCTCTGCCTTGACCTGGTCTGTATTCATTTTTGTTCCATTTCTTTTACCCTAGTTGCATATTAATGCAACATTCTCTCTAAATGCCCACAAACCCCCTATATACTTGAATCAAATGCACACTGCCATGCATCAAGGAAACTATGCGTGTGTGAGTGTGTGAGTGGTAGTTCCATTTCTCTGGGCATTGGATCAATCAGGTACAAAGCACTGCTTGCGTTGGGCGTACTATCATGATGGCAGGAACTGAAGTGTAATCATGCGGTAGCTGACAGCACCCATTTACTGAATGCTTCCTTTTGTGTCTGATAGCATAGATGAACCTACAGTGACGTCACACAACAGGCACTTCTGGGCTCTTCAGACAAGAAGCTTTTAGTCCTGGCGCTGCATTTCTAATGATCTATGAAAATTTCATAATGTAATAATGCTCGCTAAGTTTAATGAAAGTTATTATGAAGTGATACCTACGGTTTATAGTGAAGAAATATACACAGGTTGTTCCTGTGTGTTAGTTGGACATACACTACTATTCAAAAATGTAGATTTTTGGGGGAGAAATTAATACTCAAGGATGCATTAAACTGATCAAAGATGACAGTAGAGTCATTTATAATGTTACAAAAGATTTCTCTTCAAATAAATGCTGTTTTTCTATTCATCAAAGTGTCTGTTTAAAATACTGATAATCAGTATTAGAGCAGTGAATTTGCATATTAGAATGATTTCTGGAGGATCATGTGAAGACTGGAGTAATGATGCTGAAAATTCAGCTTCAATGACATTACACAATATTACGGTTTTCTTTGCAAATAAATGCAACCTTGAGACTTCCCTCAAAAACATTTAAAAACTCTTACCGACTCCAAACTTTTGAACGGTACTATTTATCAAGTTATGGATCACACATTCTCATACATAAGCAAGACTGTTCTAAATGTGAATTGTGGCATATAATAGTAAAACAATCACACAAACACGTGTGAAATGTGTTATCTGGCCTAAAATCTCGGTATTAGTCAGCGGTCATGTATTTGCCCTTATATTTGCTCTGAACGGTGAAATCAGTGAAATCATTTCAGGGTTTGTGCAATGCCTCAGAGAAATGCAAATCTACAGCCACCAGCTGCGATTGGATCAATTGGGTCTTATTAGATCAGAGCTGTGATCTGTGAGCTATCATAATTCATGTAAAATCCACCACCAATAATGATGGAAATCAGCAGAAGGCCAAAAATCCTATACTTTCAATCAATGTTTCAATCCCTCAAACAGAATTTTTAGTCATTTCCAGTTCAGTCTGAAAATCTTTTATGCAGAGTGCCTTTTTTTGGTTGTAAACAGTAAATTTATCATGATTAATTTAACATCTCTCCAAGCCTAGTGAGCTGTGAAATGCACATGATGCCCAAAAATGCTGTCTGGGTAAGCAGCTTACTAGGGTTTGAAACAGAAGCAACATCTGTAAAGAAACACTCACATTGTACTAAAATCCCAGCAAGGGCGTTTTTGAACTTCTCCTTGGCCTCCTCCATCTCCTTCTCATGTGCGGCCTTCTCGTTCATCAGCCGGCGAATGTGGCTGTTGGAGGACTGGATCATGGAATAGATGTTGTTGGCGTTTCTGCGGTTTACCTCCCCTCGTTCCACCCAGGTCAGCAGGACACGCACGGCCTCGGCAAATTTAGAGTCGTCTGAGTAGAGAAAGGAAAAACGGTGGGGGAGAAACAGATGGTGGGACGAGAGCTCAGTACAATGTTGGAGAGGAACACTTCTCATCTGGGACCTTCTAGTGTCAAAACGTATTAGCAAGACATGTTTACTGGGCCAAAAAAGACAGCAAATGCACACTAGCGAAGTAGAGGACATTTAGGAGAGGACAAGAGAATAGGGACGGACATCATCAGCATGCAATAGGCTTGGACGATCAAACTTGTCAATCAGTTGTTCATGAAGTCCCGAGACACACAGGTGTGTGTGTGTGTGTGTGTGGAAAACAGTCCAGCCGATTGCTCTGAAACTACAAAGCTTTGGCTTGCGACTTTCGGCTGGGAATGAGATGAGAAACAGAGAAAACTGAAAATCACTGTAATGAATGCCCCAGGGAGACTCTTCCAGAAATCTATTATTTTTTAGTGTTGCTGTGTTTGTTTAAAATCTGCAAATAAAAAAACAAATCAACTAAGAGAACAGTTTAGCAGAGATTTGCGGAGCTGTTTGGTGTTAACTGCGTGACAGATGAAGAACTGTTGTAAAGGTATTGCTGTCTGTATATCGAAGATGACTTGTCTTGTAAAAAAATAAAAAAGACAAACATAATTATTTTGTTTTTGTATACTTGTTACTGTAATCCTGTAAAGCACACAAACACATGTCTGACTGAGATTTCTAGGAGGCTTTGATTTATTTTATAGACGTCCTAACTACAGATAATCAAAAGATGCTGTCAAATAATTTAAATGAATAATCCATCAACCCTTTTAAGACTGCATTAATGTGTCATGAATATGAAATCCCTCTCCATCAATAAACTGATTTAGCTGCTGATTTATCCGATTCGGACTCAATACATCAGAACTAACAGATTCAAAAATAACGGTCAAACCTGATTATACAGACACATCTAGCAGATATAAGGATGCTGTTGAGATTTTCTCCAGCAAACAGCATGCGATATCATCCTTTCCTCTCTTCCCTTCATCTTTTACCTGTAAACACTGCAAACTGAGCTGAACTGCATATAAACCATTACATATGGAAAAGTGGCTAATGCACATGGCTAATTTCAACTGATTTCATCTCAAAAGCTTCTCTTTAATACACTTTCTCTCTCGGACAGAGATTTGAGAAGCAGTCGTTAAACAGATGGTTTCTATTAAACCGCATGGAACGTCAAACTCAAAGAGACAAACAGCTTTTAGATGCATCCAGCCAACAGGAAACAACAGAGGTGTGACTGACAAAAACAACTAAATCACTGTGACAGAAGCATAACACGTCACGTGTCCCACCTTTGAGCTTTTCTCCTAACTGGCTGCACTCGTGCTCAGAGAAATGGACGATGGGGGGCGGCGAGGGGGGCCGCAGACGGTCCTCTTCTATCCTGCGCCGGTGCCTCTCTTCCCGGGCCAGCATGCGCTGTCTGCACTCCCACTCGTACAGGTCATCTCGAGCCTGAGCAAAATCTACATGCAGCCGGCCTGTGTCCTTCTTATCTGTGCTTGATCCCAGCCTGATCCTATAACCTACAGAACAGGGAAATGGACATGGACAATGACATAGGAAAAGGAAAGGGAAGGAATTGAAGGTAAGGAAAAGAAAGTGGAAATGGAAGGGGAAGCAGAGTAAAGCAATAAAGGAAAAACAAGAATGAGAAAGAGGAAAGGAATGGAAAAAATGAGGAAAGGAAAAGAACAGGATGACAAACGAAAATAAAATAAGAAGGGAAAGGGAAATGGAACAAAGGACAGAAGAAAGGGAAAGGGGTGGAAATGACAGAAAAAAGGAAAACAGGAAGGGGAAATGGAGCAAAGGAAATGGGAAAGGTGAAAAATAAAGGGAAGTGGATTAAAGTAATGGACCAGAAAAGACAGGAAAAGAAAGAGGAAAGGAATTGATCAAAGGAAAATAAATAGGTAAGAGGTAAAAAAATGGGAAGGGGAGTAAAGGAAAAACAATGAAAGACAGAAAAGGAAATCAAGAGGAAATGAAAGGAAGAGGAAGAGGAAGGGTGAACCAATCAAAGGGAAAGAAAGGAAAGAGGAAGGGAAAATGAGAAAAAGAATGGGAAGGGAGTGAAGAAGTGGACAAGAAAAGACATGGATTGACAGAAAAAGAAAAAGAAAAGGAAACAGGAAAAGAAAAGAAAGAGGAAGAGGAAGGGGAAACAGAAAAAAAAGATAATGGAAATGGGAGTGGAGAAAAGAAGTTGAAGGGGAGTAAAGTACAGGACAAGAAAAGACAGAAGAACAATAAAAGAAAAAAACAGAAAGGAAAAGAGGAAAGAAAATGGAAGAAAAGAGAAAAAAAACAGGAAAATGAAAAGGAAAGGAAAAAGAAAGGGAAGGGGAAAAGAAAAGGAAAAAGTAAGTATAGGAAAGGATTTAGAGGAAAGGAAAGGAAAGGAAAAAGGAGGGAAAAAAGTAGAGTGCGATAAGTTAAATGGTAAAAAAGGAAGGAGAACAGGACAAGAAAATGAGAGCAGCAGAAAAGCATTCAGCCTTAACAAACCACATGAATGTAATGAGAAAAACAACATATTAGCAACACTGATTCATGAAGTGACCCGTGACAAAGAGACACCCACAAACACTCTCTGATGCTTAAGCTTTACTTCTAACATGTGCTTGCTGACATATTAAGGCCAAACCACACATATTTGTTTATTTTGTACGAACTGTATAAAGCCTCAAATGTTACACTCAGACGAGGAAATCGAAAACCAAAACCCTACCAGCACAGACAAGCCATGATGTATGAGAATAATCTGGTTTGTGATAGGGCTGAAAAAAAGAAAGTGATTTTGTATTAAGGATTATATATTTCAATTGCTCAGAAAAGTATCTTGACAAATGGCCAAGCGGTACGTGAAAGAGGCTCCGGTGAATTCTGAATCGTATGATGCTGCGAGTACATTACAGAGAGGCTGAGAAGTGTTTTGAAGGAGAATGTATATTCACAGACGGCCGTGTCAACAGAAATGAGAGAAAGAGCTTCACGGTTTGCTTCCGCCACTCTATCACTGCTTTACAGCCCTGAGATGCTGTTAAATATTTTACGCAATGTGTTCACGTTAGAAATGAGCACCATTATTTATGGAAAGGCCTGCAGAGCTCCGTCACGAGGCCACATAATATATGGGGCGCTGCTCCAATCTCACCCCTCTCCACTGAGAGAGCAACACTCTCTACAGACGTATAAATAATGGAAAAGGTATTATTGAAGCGACCGGCACTTTAAATTTGCTTTCTGTGGCTGAGATGGACATCCTAATATTTGCATACAAAGACTGATTTAAGATGTGACTGGATAAGAGAAGCAGCTCATGTGACCGGTGGTCGAGGAGGTGATTGATATGCAGCGTAATAAAAGGCAGAAATGTATTACTAGGTGTCGGCGCTTGTCTTCTCATTGACCTCTTCTGTCAGGGACTCTTGAGGGCCAGCGTCTACAGATCTTGAGTTCTGTGAGTGATGTGCGGAAGCCCCGCCCCCCTAATTAATTCTGCATCAATCCATCAAGTCAAGAGGGAACTTGTGGACACATGGGCCTCATTTCCATGCGATAAAAGGTTAAGTGAAATTATTCTAAATCACATGGCGTGGCACTTAAGTGCTAGGCATGATTTAGTGCTTTTATTTGTATTCTTGCTTATGAAATTGTGAAATATTAAGGGTGTAATCTACAATGAAAGTTCACAATTTAAAAGATAGCTGCTGTTAGTGTCAATTAAAATATTAAACGAAAAGATTTTAATGATATATGTAAATGAAAATAAAAACAAACATAAAAATAAAATTCATATTAACAGTATATTTAGCCCATTAACCTTTTTATGAATTCTAACAATGCCTGGGAGAATTATATGGTTTAGCGTAATTATCAAAACGCAAAGACTGCCTTGTAATGATTTAATATGCAATCTGATACACTGCATTGTAATATTTTCTCTTGAGCCGCACGTGCTAACAGTTTTCATCGCTTATACGTGCATTTGAAAATGCAATATGCAACAAACACTGTCCCAAGTTTGTTATGAAAATGGTTTATAAAGAAAAAACAAGCATAAATATTAGTATTGCAATTACACAATATATATATATATATGTATGTATATATATATATAAATTCTCCCAAGTCACTGGCCATTGGCAGGTGTGGCAAAATGTGTTTTACACCCTGTATGTTTGTATGTATTAGGGCTGCCCCCTAATAGTCGACTAACCGTTAGTCGACGAGAAGAGGCTTGACCGACCAAAATGTTATTAGTCGCTTAGTCGAAGAACAGACGAAGTCACGCAGCCCGTGACGGACAGATCGTTAACGGCTGGTCTACTTTTAAATGAACCAATTCGAATGGAAAACAAATATTCTCTGATTATGTAATCCGTATGAATCATGCATGCAGGCGCATCACTACTGCGGAGAGTCAGTGTCGCCGACTTCATCTCAAGCCGAAAGCACTATTTATCAATAAATTATTAAAATGTTAATGCAGTGTCCTTGCTGTTTTTCCCTGACACATTCATAATTATTAGTGTTTCCCATACATTGGTTTATTTATGGCGGCCCGCCACAATAACAACACTGACCGCCACAAATAGATTTTCCAAAAGGCTTTGACTTTGTTGAATAAACATGAGCACTGCACGTTTCCAAGTCAAAACGAGACGCGGGTGTTTTTATATTAATGTATTTTGAAGGGAACTGACTGTTTTTAGAAACGTTTTGATGTTATTTTAATTTCATCTTTACTATAATGCATGATAAAGCAGTGTTTATGAGCGCAGCTCTGCTTTGTTTACAGCCGTTACCAGGGAAACAGCTGTTTCTGCCGCTCCTAAAGTGCCTCCTGCTGGCAGAGAATTAATTAGCATTTTCAATCAGTCAGCCCGCCTGCTGTTTTATAGCCTATATTTCCCCCGGGGGAAGTGCCGCCACAAATAGAGTGTAAGCCTGTGGGAAACACTGTATTATATCTGCCGGTGTGCTGTGGCAAGCTTTATGCGTGCGCTCGAGCGCTTATTAGGATATGTAGGCAAAGGATCATTATAATGATTTAAATGGTTTATTAACAAACGTGCGATTAGTCAACTAATGCTTAAATTGAACGACTATTGGACAACCCTAGTATGTATGTATGTACAGTTGTGCTCATAAATTTACATGCCCCTTGCAGAATATGCAAAACGTTAATAATTTTATCAAAATAAGAGGGATCATGAAAATTGCATGTTATAGTTTATTTAATACTGTCCTGAATAAGCTATTTCACATAACAGATATTCTCCACAAGACAAAATAATGGCTGAATTTATAAAAATGACCCCGTTCAAAAGATACATACCCTTGAATCTTAATAATCTGTGTTGTTTCCTGGATGATACACAACTGTCTTTCTGTTTTGTGATAGTTGTTAATGAGTCCCTTGTTGGTCCTGAGCAGTTCAACTGCCTGCTGTTCTTCAGAAAAATCCTCCAGCTCCTGCACATTCTTTGGTTTTCCAGCATCTTCTGCATATTTGAACCCTTTCCAGCAGTGAAAGGCAACACAATGCATTAAGAGCCAGAGGGTGTAAACTTTTGAACGGGATGATGTGTAAATTTTTCTTATTTTGTTTAAAGATCCTATTTTTTTCAATTGGTACTGCACTTAAGAAGCTACATAAATACTTAAAGGGGTCCTATTATGCTTTTTCACTTTTTCCAACTTTAGTTAGTCTAATGTTGCTGTTTGAGCATAAAAAAGATCTGCAAAGTTACAAAGCTCAAAGTCCACTTCAAAAGGAGATATTTTATTTAACAGAAATCAATTTTCAAAAACGACAACGAACGACTCGTTTGGACTACAACGCATATTTTCCAGGATTTGTGATATCACAAATACCGACGAATGGGACGAGACCTGGTCTAGAAAAGGCAACGAGTGTTATAGGCGGGTGTCGCTGTTGGACAGTGTTTTCGAACAACCTAGTATGAGAGCCTGTTCTAGTACACCCCCAAAACAAAATCAAGACTTTGTAAAAGAGCATAATAGGACCCCTTTAAATGTTTCCCAGAAGACAAAATAAGTCAAATTTAACCTGATCATCCAATTCAAAAAGTTTACACCCCCCCCTAGCTCTTAATGCATTGTGTTGTCTTCTTGAGCATCAGTACATGTTTTCACCTTATATAATAGTTATGTATGAGTCTCCCAATTGTCCTCCATGTGAAAAGATGGATCTCAAAAATCATACATTCACTGTTGGAAAGGGTTCAAATATGCAGAAGATGCTGGAAAACCAAAGAATGTGCAGGAGCTGGAGGATTTTTCTGAAGAACAGCAGGCAGTTGAACTGCTCAGGACCAACAAGGGACTCATGAACAACTATCACAAAACAGAAAGACAGTCGTGGATCATCCAGGAAACAACACACAGTATTAAGATTCAAGGGTATGTAAACTTTTGAATGGGGTCATTTTTATAAATAAAGTTATTATTTTGTCTAGTGGAGAATATATAAACATCTGTTATGTGAAATAGCTTATTCAGGACAGTATTAAATAAACAATAACATGCAATTTTCATGATCCCTCTTATTTTGATAAAATTATTAACGTTTTGCATATTCTGCAATTTATGAGCACAACTGTACACATATATATAATAAATAATTTACATATTATTTATATATGCATTATAGTTATTTAAATTATTCCTAAATATTTTATATGATTTAAATGTTCATAGATATGTCCATACTTAAATAAATAAAACAATTCTCATATAGAGCAACTGTTGGTGTTGCAGAGACAAAGGAAAATCCTCCTGATCATGTACCTGACAGGAAGAGGGCCTTGTCCACTGTGTGCTCCTCAGCGAAGCGGATGTGACAGAAGTTCTTCTTGCTCTTGCGGATGGCGATGATACTCCCGCACTGTTCGAACACCTCCACAATGAGCTGCTCTGTGGCGTTCTCTGGTAAACCGCCCACAAACACCGTCTTACAGCCGGGCGGTCTCTCTCTGGTGGCAGGGGGAGGCAGGTCTTTGAAGACAAGCACAAAAGAATATTAAACTACCAGAATTTTTGACATTTTCTTTCATCTAGATATTGATCTCCATTTTTCACCGCATTAAGTCCATAGCTCATTATTGACTCGTATGTCACATATGAAAAAGGTGAAACATGCAAAATCAATCACTGATTGTTTTTTTGTTTTTTACGACCTTGACATTAAAATTATTTATTATCCAATTCTAATCTAAAAGACCAGGGTTCATCTGGAAGATCATTAAAAACGGTAATGCGCCAAAATCACATCGATCAGACTGACATATTTTTGGCCTTTTGCCACTTTTATTTGATAGTCTTAGCATAGACAGGACTCAAACTCAACATGTCACTGGATCTTTCTCTCGACTGGTTTAATTTGCAGAACACGGCACTAGAACCTCCAGGTTCACAAAGCTAATCTCTTCTTGATAAACCAATTCAACCATGAATAAGATGCATTGAGAAAACCAGGCATAATCAATGAAACTCGGCACTTGCTACATGACTGGATTACAAGTGCAAAGCTTGCCATGTTCTGCTGTTAGCTGATTCCTCAGCGATGCTGTGCAGACCAACGGGTGATAATCCGTGTCTTAACAAGCTATGGGAATGCAGATGAAGGAAGCACCTGCTGGGACTCGTGCCTGATGGGGGGTCCAAACAGAGTCGGACGCAAAGCTGTTCAGGCATGTTTGGCTGTAAGCCAGTCACTATAAATAAGTGAGTCTCTATGGACCCCACAGCTGCCCCCTAACACTCGCCATCCATCATCACCAACATTACACTAACTTCTGTTTATTGTGGCGGCTCATGATGAGCTTTATATTTATGTCAGCTCATGCCAGTGGAAAGAATATAATACTCCACTGACTAGAGGATGTGACATATGTGTACAGCTTCAATACAACACTATACGAGCATGCATATGGACCAAAACGATTCAGATGTCAGTCATGGGCTTTGGATGACATGCTGTGGTATTGTAAAAAAAAAAAAAACTCTGTAAACATGTTTACCAAGCATAAAATGACTTGTCAGTCTGATCATCACTGAAGTCTGAATGGGATTTTGTTTATTTGCTTGCCTTATTTTAGCACCGGATTCATTGAAGGAATTATGTAAATCAGGTACTGCTGCAAATATGGCAACAAAATTAGTGCTGATAGCAATTCACACCTCGGCTGGATCTGGAAGACTGAAAACCATGATTTGATACACTCTTCTGAGCCTCACGAATCGACTCTTTACAAAGCTGAAAATGATTCTTTATGGTTGCCATGATCACTAGAAAACATACATAAACATTCATTTGAAATAAAATCCAGTTTGTTTTAATAGTGTCATGTCTTTCCTTTGAAAGCACAGTGTCAACTGCGTTGGCCAATGTATGCTAATGTTCATTTTATAAAGAGCCTCATTTGCATAGAAAGGATTTGCCCATAAAGGAATGACATGAATTTGAATATGCATGGAACAGCACTGTACGACACACAGCACCTGCTTATGTTGGGCTGTGAGTTTTTATGTTAATAAACGCGTGGTCACATTTACCTTTCTACAGTGAAATTCTGCAGCCAAAAAGTCATTGTTTCACCTGTGAAGTTTCGTTAACGTGACCTCACCTTAAGCTACATGTATGGTTTTGTGCTGAAATACAGGGTTGCAAGGTCTGCATAACAAAACCACCCCAATTGGTACTAAAAAACAACCCAATCACAGCCCATTTGGTTTCTAGGGGGTCAAAACCTCCTCCTTTCGCAGCAACAGTATAAAAGTAGCCAAATTTCGCTGGAAAACCGTGGACTTGGCAACACTGCCAACACTGAATTCACCTCTCATTGTCTAGAAAAGAACATGGTTATTATGTCTACTTTCTTATGTAGATTTTTGTGTACTATTATGGACCAAGAGCTTTGATTATCCGGCCAGTACACAGGCATATTTAAGAAAACCACAGACGCATGCACTGACAGAGCAAAAACGCATCCAGCACACACAAAATGTGCATAATGTGCAGCACACTAATCTAAAAGCTGAATACTAACGTTAAAAGTTGAGGCTGCTAGTTTAAGAACAACCACTGAGAATCTCAAAGGGGCAAGTCGTTTGGTTTTCATCTTACGCTGAGCTCTATTAAATACTGGTTGCTGGCCCAGGTGAGCAAATGTTTACTTTGTCAAATGCACAGGAAACATTTTAGCTTGACATCAGCAGTCTCTTGAAAGTTGAAACTTTGAGCAAGCAATAAAAACACAGAGTAGATGTTTGCTTTAGGAGGAGCTCCACAAGAAAGAGTTTGATACCTCTGAACTTTTCTAAATCAAATACGACGTCTCAAAGTGGAAACTGCACAGCGATAAAATCAAAGCCTATTATTTCACAAACCAATGCTCTTCCCATGGCTCCATGGCTAAATATCCTGTGCCGTCAAAGGCGCTTCTTTGAAGAGCGAGTTAAGATGACACAGGAGGGTCTGGGACATAAATTCAGGAGGGCACTGTGTGCCTCCAGCACTGCGAGCGCTCGACCGAGAGACAGTCGTCAACAAGCTTAACGCTAATCAGCTCAAATGAAGACAGCCGCAGGTGTATCGCTGTCTCGCGCACGCTCAAATACACATAGACGATGGAGATGACAACCGCTCCGCAGACAAAAGTTGATAGGAACGTGGGATGTGGGAACATATATGGAACGATGAAAATGATGAAAAATGCCCAGTTCTGCCACCCTCACTGAAGACAGACGCCTCAGTGGCACCACACAGATGCATAGCGTTGATCTTAACAAGCATGTTGCTCTGTGAAGCCCCAGATGTGTTTTAGTCACAGACCTCGAGAAGACTCAACGGCATGGGAAGCCTGACTCAGATCGGAGCGTGTGAGGTGGTAAAGGAAGAAGTCCTGGGCTTTTTGTTTGCTCGAGTGGGGTGTCAGGAGTGAGACTGCAGATAAGATGAACTGACTTCTCAAAAGGCAGTCTTCACTCAGCTTGACAGCCGTCTACCTGCTGCGTATTGTCCCTCTTGAAAGAGGAAGCCTGTGGCGATCACAAGCACCTTAAACAGGCTTTTCTCCACAGGAGAGCTATACATGATCACTATGTTTTCCCCCACTTCTTTCTTTCTCTTTCTTTCTTTCTATTTATTTGTATTTATTGTAACACTTTGAATACAAATCTAAATTCTGCAGTGGTTGTATTGTGGATCGTGTCTGATCACCTGCTGAGCCATGTCCCAGGATTTTTTTTCGGCATCACAGCAAGGTTCAAGCAATTATACTGAACCTAAACAGATTTGTAGAATTTAAAGGCACATTTAAATCATCACAATGCTCACATTTTTGGACATCATAGAATGTCTAAATAGAGTAAGCTGCATACTTTTGTGCATCGTAAGTACTTGCATTTCCACACACTGTTATGAAATGTTGGAAAGTGCAATAATGCATTTTTTGTCTAGGTTTGCTGCCCAAAATACTAAGTTTGAAATGAACATATCTATGATGTCCAAAGATGTATGGTTTGAATAGTCTGAGATGCATAAAAGGGTCTGGGTTTGATTCAAGCATTCACACATTCTATGAAGTCCAGAAATGTTGTTGAGGTCAGGCTGAACAGTCAAACACTGCCCAAAAGTGCCCAAAAACATTCAATCACACCATCTTTTTGTTTAGGTTTGATTCAAACAACTCCGTGATGGTTTAAATACATTTTTAGGCAGACTTCAAATATCTTGCATTTAAAGACTGATGTTATACAGAGATCATAAAATCCTTAATAATAGTGATATTAAAACACTTTTAAGCATGATATTAAGAAATGTGCATTGTGCAATAAAGAACACCAACGTTTAATTATAATTTTATATCAGTAAGTCTTAAGTAATATGTCAATAAATATGTTAATGGATTTGAAGTATTTAGTATGAAATAAATTTTTTTTAAAATATATTATGACATATGTTTTTTTTTATTTTTAACTAGGGCATTGAACAACTTAAATAAGTACAAACCCAATTCCAAAAAAGTTGGGACACTGTACAAATTGTGAGTAAAAAAGGAATGGAATAATTTACAAATCTCATAAACTTATATTTTATTCACAATAGAATATAGATAACATATCAAATGTTGAAAGTGAGACATTTTGAAATGTCATGCCAAATATTGGCTCATTTTGGATTTCATGAGAGCTACACATTCCAAAAAAGTTGGGACAGGTAGCAATAAGAGGCCGGAAAAGTTAAATGTACATATAAGGAACAGCTGGAGGACCAATTTGCAACTTATTAGGTCAATTGGCAACATGATTGGGTATAAAAAGAGCCGTGTCCCAACTTTTTTGGAATCGGGTTTGTACCTAAAATGCCCAGAAATGAGTACAGATTTGAACGTGCCAATGACTCCCAAAAAAGCCATCAAGGTCTGACTACATCATTCAATCGGCCACCTATACTGCCCCAAAATGCTCTCTTGGTCCATATACTTTATATACAACATTAATAACATTAGACATTTTTGAAAATAAGGCATTTTAATAACTGACTAATAACTGATCTCTATCCAGGATATCTCAGAAACTAAAAATCATTCCCATTAATAATAATAATAATAATAAAAAAAAACTTGAAATGAAAATAAGATTAAGTGCTAAATTGAAAACTAATACAGTATAAAACAGTATAAAATAATACTTGAACAATAAAGCTCAATTAAAATATTAAAGGAAACTAATAAAAAAAGACAAAAGCACATACATTTACTAAAACATTTGAAATTAAAATTTAAATGAAAAATGAAAATATCAAAATAAAATATTATTCAATTAATAATACACTGTTTCTAATGAATAAAAGCAACTATGACATCCCATGGCTTTGAGACATAGCCAGTAGTTATTTTAGGCAGCAGAGTGTATAAGTGAGGTTAAAGGCCTCTGCAGGCACAGGCGGGTGCAGCGGAGCGAGGTGTGGGTGATATGTGTCGTGAGTGGGC